ACCTACAAAAGTGTAAATCCGACCTACAATCGATGACCAACCGACCTACAAATGTGTACATCCGACCTACAAATGCATATATCCGACCTACAAAAGTGTAAATCCGACCTACAACCGATGACCATCCGACCTACAAATGTGTGCATCCGACCTACAAATGCATATATCCGACCTACTAAAGTGTAAATCCGACCTACAATTGATGACCATCCGACCTACAAATGCATATGTATCCGACCTACTTAAGTGTAAATCCGACCTACAATCGATGACTATCCGACCTACAAATAATTGTACATCCGACCTACAGTAGGTCGGATCAAACAAAAGTTTTTTGAATTAAGGTGCAACTGACCTATAGTTTAACAGACCTACAGCAGCTAAAAAGCAGCTGAAAAACCACGTGCAAGTAGGTCAGAAGTGTAATATAGAGGATATGCGTAGGTCGAAAAATACACCACCCACAAAATTACGAAGAAATAATTCAAATGAACAAAAAATTAGTTCAAATTGAACTTAATCAAATGAAAATTAGTTCAAATTAACACGAGATAGTTCAAATGAACCCAATTTTTTAGAAATAGTTCAAAAAACAAAAAGTATTTTAAAATTAAGATGGTGTATTTTTCGACCTACGCAAATCCGCTATACTCCACTTCTGACCTACGCCAAATCCGCTATACTACACATCCGACCTACTAGTACATGGTTTAACAGCTGCTATATATGGACTTGTAGCCGCAGCGCACGGCCCCTAGCCGGCCTAGCCGCGGCGCTCGGCCCCCTAGCCGCAGCGCTCGGCCCCGAAATTGTCTTAACCTAACCTTACCCTCAAATGATACAAAAATAAACAGCTGGCGTATAGGTACGATGTAACTCATGTAACATTACCATTTTAAACGAACACAAAAATAGTTAAAATAAACCAAAAAGTAGTTCACACATGTGTATTAATTAAGGGTTAGGTCAGACTAAGATTTCTGGGACGATCGCATGCGGCTGGGACGTTCTTCCGACTCCTCCTTGACTATATCTCTTCTTTCCTAATCAGAAAATTGTGGATTACCTTTTGATAAATTTTGTGATATGTAAAAAAACAATAACATTTTTCTTTGGCGCTTTGTGCATTTTTTCTAAAAGAATTTCTTTCCATTTTCTTTTTTCAACTTAAAGAAAGTGTATTGCAGATTGCAGAAAGAACCTTCCCGCATCCAACACAAGGGTGGTACTTAGTTAAGACTCAAATTTGTTTATTTATTTAAAAATTTAACTAATGTATTTCTATTTTCAGAGAAATAATCCAAAAACTCTTATTTAATACACGGCGGAGAAAACATTACTATTTCATGAAAATATCCTTCTCTTTAAAAAATTTTTTTTTATGCACATCTTATTCCCCCACAGAATATCCGCCCATTCTACTAGATTTAGATTATCTTTTCCCAATTTTTTTAAGAGTACTATTAATTTAAGTAAGAAGTTACTAGGACTCAGGTCTACAGGTGGACAATATCGGCTCGAACAGTTCATCCCGATCATTACTAAAATTGTCGGCAGCTTCCGGCTCTAAATGGCTCACAACTATCCGAAACCCCGATTCATAACTTGTTATCTTCAGACTCTTTTCATTTACTTTCTTAAAATGATGATCCTAGGTTTTCTGATCTCATACTTCATATGGAATAAAAATTCTGAGAAAACCCAAGAATATAAAATATGTAAATATCAAAAAAAATAACTTTTTTAGTTATTGTTATAGCTATTAAATCGTCTAACACCCGGAAACTATCATTATTAATCGAATTCACATTTACCGGATGAGCAAAAAAGGACTCATGACTGGTTGAAACTGATCCACCTATTCAGTAATAGGATTAGTTTTAATCATTTTCAAAATTTTCAAAAGTACCTTTGTTATTTTTCAAATGGTTATAAACTTATCTTACTTTGAATTGACAAATGAATAAAAAGTCAACTAAGAACGATTTAATAATTGTCACTATATTCTCATGTTTATGGGACACCCTTTCCTTGCATTGAAATTGTTCAAGCCAAAATTAAAACATTAAAAATTCTTCCGAATGTTTGTAAACTTTGCAAATAAAGGGGGGGGGCCACAAAACGTATTACTCTCCGGAAAATTTAAACAGTGTTTAAACATAACTTAGAATTGTCGTAGGAGGCTGATTTTTTGTATGCAAACTCAGAATTATGTATATTATGTGCATTTTTTGGTTTTGAAGGAATCTGAGCAAAAGTGCGTGCGCGCGCGCGTTTTTTGTGAAAAAATGCGACTTTTTTGACAGTAAATCAATGTTAACTTAGTTAACATTGATTTACTGTCAAAAAAGTCGCATTTTTTCACAAAAAACGCGCGCGCGCACGCACTTTTGCTCAGATTCCTTCAAAACCAAAAAATGCACGTAATATACATAATTCTGAGTTTGCATGCAAAAAATCAGCCTCCTACGACAATTCTAAGTTATGTTTAAACACTGTTTAAATTTTCCGGAGAGTAATACGTTTTGTGGCCCCCCCCCCTTTGGTCACAGTCTCTGAAATTCCTTACATTCCGAGTTTTAAAGAACAACAAAGAGATTTTGTATTTTATTTTTAACAAAAAATTACCTACAACAGGATGCCTTAACAATATATAATTTAATGCCAAAATTGGTTTGTTTAAGAAGTTTTTGAGTACTATTAAGACAACCTGAATTAAGGGTGTCCAAACATACTTAAGCACTGTACGTACATGATTAATGCACATGTTATACATGATTTAGATAGCTATGTACTGTAGTGACACACCCGCGTGTAAGGACTCCCTAGCGTACTACTATCACAGCTCAATATAGCGTGCAACGCACTTAGGGAGGAAACGATCATTCACATAGTTCTAATCCTTAGATCCTCTGTGTACAGTACAATTGACAGAATATACATTATACATACACATTGAGTACAAAGTGTTTACATCGAAAATTTTTATAACACTGTAAACCTAATGTACACTGTCAACTTTATTTGCAGTGTACATAGTACACTTTGAATGTGCAATTTAGAGTATTCGTTATATAAAACTGTACGGTACTACATCAGTATATACAGTACAATATTAGTCCTGTGACCTGTACACTTTACATAACTGAACGTACAAAGAGTACGTCAAGCACATTGTACATTGTCAAATTATGTACACTGTACAGGTCAAGTACACTGTCAACAACTGTCTAGTACAGAAGAAAGAATAGAAATATGTACTGGAATGATTTAATGAAGATTTGAAGGAAAAGGTTGCAGTACGCGAGGGATTCCTGAACAAAGTTTACGTTTAATATCGTTTCAGCATGATCATTGATCAAGCAATGATCGCGCAGCTGATCATTTCCTATGTAGAAATCAAGTTTACGGGTCAAATGATCGTTTGGACAATTCACAGGGGATTACTCCAATCCAACGATCAAAAGACAAATACATAATTTCTTACTTAGATACATTTGAAATTATCTCCCGATAACTGATCATTACATAATCGATAAATTACATTACAAAAGATCGCGCAGGGGCTTGCAATTCAGGGGAGTGTTGTAGAAATGTTATCGCTTGAAGAACATTGATCGATGGATGCCATCGTGAAAAGGGAGTTTATTTATCAAAAGTGTTATTTTCTTTCACACTTTTATCTCTTCAAACCAATGAAAAGATCAAAATTGATCTTTGTGAAAGCAGTTAATTTTAACATTTATGAGATGTAAGGAGAATAGAAAGATCTAGAAGTACATATTGTCTAACTACAAGCAGGAGCTGCTGTATTAAACCATCCATGTACTGAGGTGTGTGTTTAAATGGTTTCGAGGGTTGGGATCCTCAAAACCATGCGTTGCAGTTGTACAATCTAGTATATACAGGGAACAAAGGGTCCCAGAGGGAGATATCATAGATTGAGTTTAGCAGAATTCTTCAAGTATGAATTTCACACATAGTAGTGCCGAGATAGCTCACAGTTTCATTCAGTTGCTCGGTACTAGCTCACATAATATATAACACAGTTCACATGTTGAGCTCAGAATAAGATTGACTAGGGAAGGGGGAGTACTGTTCCTTCCTCATCTTTACACAGTTGGCACACATACAGTAGTTCCCGGGAAGGAGGAGAGAGTAGGTTGGGCGGAGGTATATCTGGTTTTAAACATGGCGGAGTGGAGTAAATTTGGAGGATTTTCTAGTTCTTCGTCTTGGGTGGAGGGGAAACTACAAACACACAGGCTGACACAGTAATTGAGAGACGCTTGCGCTTAAATTCTGCCTCCAGTATTGAGTGTCGAGGGCGGAGAAGGGGTGCATTGCCAGGGCGTGGCAGATAAATAGGCGAACCAGCTGCTGAGAGGCGGAGCGGTTGCAGGAAAAGCATAGCTCTCACAGACAACAGTATCCATCTACAGAAGATAGTTTAGGTTTCGAAGTTGCAGTCGTACGAGGTGCATCCTAAACAGACCAAGATTTAAGAAGATAATCGAACATGATAAAATACTAACAGACACAAGTTTTTTCTTAATTTCGTTGAAATCGAAATTTTTTCCAGTTCACAAATCGCAATAAGAAGTTAGTTAGTTGGTGGATTATCTGTAATCGTGAAGATGATAAGATTTATAATTAAATAGCAGCTTATTTGTCAGGCATTATCAAGTTAACTTATATCATTTCACTAGGGTTAATAACTTCGAGAAGAAATCTGTAAGACCCCCCCCCCCGTTGTTAAAAAAACCATACTTTGGCGGATTTAAGTCCTACCTCAGTTCAGAAGTTGAATCCTCCTGCGGGTTGATCTCCTTCAGGACCGGAGTTAAACTGGAATCCTTCCTCCGTTGCAGCCGGAGCTAATCCTGCATCTTCCTCCTCCTATTAAAATTATTATTTATTTTTATTAAATTCCTTTCAATCCAGGAAATGTATAAAATCAGGGCACCTCCAGGATCCAGTCCACACTTAGCCTGAGCTACATGGGAATTAACCCTTTAAAATTATAAAGCATTTGTTTTCCCTAGAAAATCCGCGATTTTACAAAAAATGAGTTTTGTGATTTAGTAGATTCACCTACAATGCAGTACCAAAATATGTCATTGGTTCAATTTTTCAACATAAAGTTTGCTTAGCAAAATGTAAAATTTTATATGAATATTTCAAGAAAATGAGAATGTCCGTGAAAATATGCGATATTTTCCTAAATAAGTCCCCATTTTGAGTTGTCGGTAGAAAAATTAACAGAACAAGATTGAGAAAAACAAAAGAGAACAAAATTTGTTATTCATACCTCGTCATTGAAATATTGCTCGATTATCTCGTACGCGAGTTTGTAAATTTCGACGTTTTCGTGGTTCTGCAGAGCCTCTATCTTGTCCAGACCTCCGTACTCCTCAATGATGGCCGCGACCGCCTCGACCTCTGTGCCGGCCATCTTGAGCATGTTGTTCAGACCGTCCAGGACAACTTGGATAACCTGGGTGTCTTTGCAGCTCAACAAACTAGAAAAATGCAATTCTACAATTAAAATAAGATTCATTTTAAATCTAATAATTACATAACTTACTTTCAATCATTGTACAATCTAATTTTAAACATCACTCTCATATTCTGAATATTAACGTAAATAAAAAAAACTTGTCACTTTTCTCCAAACCCAGTGTTGTGTGGAAATCAGAAAATGTAGAAGTCGGCCTATTTTACTTTGAAATTTCAAACCAAGCGCCGTGGTTCTTAACAAGTTCCCCAATAAAAATATGAGACATGCTTGGACATACAAACAGACAAACAGCGATTACTACTTTTTATAAATAGGTAAATAACAAGAAAACTTACTTGCAGAATGGAGGAATAACCCCCTGTTGGACCAGGTATGCAACCTGGGTTTTATTCCCGGAGATTGTTAGGTTTGAGATTGCCCAGGCGGCCTCCTTCTGGGTTTGGAATTCTCCCCTAGCGGACAAATTTGAAATTTAAAGCCTTTACCTGTAGGAATATTATTAACATTCATCCTTTAACGTTTACTTATAATCAATAAGAAAAGGATTATTAAAAGTAAAAGGGTTTGTTCACATTTTAATGTAACGTATTAGCACAAATAAAATCAGGCTTTAAGAGAGAGACATCCTACAACCTCACTTTACAATCGTTAAAAACTGTTGTTTATTTATTATTATGCTAGCTGAAGTGCCTGGCGTTTGATCTATGAAAAAAAATAGATTTATAAAAACAACTAATTTTCCTTTAAAAATAAATCTCAAATCGTGTTTTTGTTTTTATAATTTTGTGTACCTGGCAAGATGTGATATAACCATAGGAACTAGTCCTTGATCTATAACTGCTTGAACCTGTCCCTGGTTTCCAGCTGTTATGTTTGACAGAAACCAAACGGCCTCCTGCAAACATTAAGGGAATTAAAAGCGCAATTTTAAGTGACCCTCCATGCAAAGATGTCCTATTCACAACGGTACCCTTGAAACCTTAGTATGATCAAAAATGTGGAAGATTCGTCGTTTGGTGACTCGAAGTGTTTATTTCTGTGAATTTCTCCATTTTTCTTATAAGCAAGTAATGCACAAGAAACCACAAAAGAAAATACATAGTTCAAATAAACGAAAACATCCATATTTAATTCATACTTGAGACAAGACAAAGCTTTCAAGGGTACCGTTGTAAATCGAGCATCGACATTTTGGCATGGAGAGTCTCTTGAAAATACAGTTCCTTTAAAGGGAGTGTTCGTGAAAAATAAAGGGGGGTATAGGCTTAATGCGATAAAAAAGCACTTTTGATCGCTACTAATCTTACTTCTATCTGTTGCGTCTATAAGAAGAAAATTGTTAAGACGTCTCATACCGAATAACATGGCGTCCATACAAATTGAGGAAATTGCAACATACGACTAAGACCGTAAAAAAATTAATTTAATTTCAAACAAATCATTCAGATATTACAACCTATAGTCATCTGAATAATTTGTTTGAAATTAAATTGATTTTTTTACGGTCTAAGTCGTATGTTGCAATTTTCTCAATTTGTATGGACGCCATGTTATTCGGTATGAGACGTCTTTAACAATTTTCTCCTTATAGACGCAACAGATAGAAGTAAGATTAGTAGCGATCAAAAGCGCTTTTTTTTCGCATTAAGCCTATACCCCCCTTTATTTTTCGCGAACACTCCCTTTAAGGACAAAATCAACGAGGAGTAATTAGTAGTTGTGAGATGAAATCAATTAAAGATTTAGCAATTTGAAATTAAATACCAGAAGTGTTTATTTTCTAATAACATTGTAAACGGTAGAAAACAAAACAAAAATGAACAGAATTAGATTCAAATATTCAATTTTGGCTGTACTATTTGGATTCTGGGGTTTATGAATACTTTAGAGTTTTAGGGTAAAAAAGGGGACATTCTTAAAAGCGTGTCCAAAATGTGAATTTAATTCATCCGAAAAAAAAACATGTAAATAATTTTTTTGCTTAGTGAAATAGTTCTGAACATCAACAAAATGAACTATTATTTAGAAAGTGAAATCATATCTCTAGAAAAATTAACCCCTGAATAAATTCAAAAATCCAAGTTTTACCTTATTAATCTTCTCTTTTGTATGATTAAGAAGACCAGGGAAATGATCTAGAGCTCCGTGATTAAGAACAGTTTGGGTCTGATCATCCGTCCCGGTCACAATGTTTCCAACAGCACGTAGAGCTGCCGTCTGAACTTTAACCTCCCTGCAACAATATTTCAGAATTAATTTTGATGTTCATAATAACATAAACATTTTTTAGCTATGAAATGTGTATTTGATGAGTTTATAAAGCACAAAATTTAACAAGTATGTAGCTTGAAAATTAAATCATTAATTAAAATGTGACTGTGTACACTAAATCATAACTTAAACTATCAGCTGTCTTTTTTTTCTAGTTTTATCATTTCACGGGAAAAATGTAAATTCCAAAACCTTAAAAGATATTTTTTGACATGAAAATATGAACCCCTTTCAAAATACTGCATATTAAGATTAGAAGATTTTTAAACCTTTGATTAGTGTTATGAATCGCTATGATTCCTTTTAATTGTATAATGTTTAAGATTGCCTTTTACTAATCTTTGCAAATCAAATTCTGAACATTGTTTTTAGATAGTTTTTGGGTCAATTTTTGCAAATATCTTATGCTGCCAGGATCTAAATTTGACTTTGTTAAAGAAAAGCAAAATGTTTGGAATAAAAATGTTAGAAAACATTTTCTCTTTTTCTACTATGCTAAATATTGACACTGAAAGAAAATATGAACAAAAACGACCCAAAGCGAACCAGCTGAAGGCACATCACTTATCACTACCTATGACTGAGAAGAGGCACTAGTTTAGAGACTACTCCACTATCTATCACCATCTGGATCTGCTCATTCCCACCGTCCGTGAGGTAGGAGAGCGCCCAGACCGTGTCTACGAGAATGTTGATGTCGGAGTGATGGATCAGCATGGATAAAGCAGGAAGAATCTCCTAAAAGCACAATTTTAAGTTAAAATAAAATAAATACTATAAAAAACCGTATAGCGCAACACAATCAACTACAAAACAAAAGATTAAAAAAAAACTTTTGTATGTCAAAATTGGTATGTAATTTCAAATGAAATATAAACCGAGAATTAGAACTAGGATGAATATTTTGAAACTATAATCAATTTCCTATAAATTCTTCGTTACTAAATTCAGTTTTCTACGAAAGATTGTTTTTCTTTATTGTTAGCATATTAGAAGTGCTTACGTTGGTGAATTTTAATCATACAAAAATCTCTAATCCTGTTTTGGCAGCCTAATTTAAGCTTCGCCAAAGGTCCTTTTAACATTCAATGTTAAATATATTTCCGATTAATTAAGAGAAACCATGGAAATATATTTTGAAATATATGATGTTGGATGAAAACTAAATACTACCTAAATAAAATAACTTAACCTTTCACCATGCAATTACATCTATTTATATGATAAATTTTACCCCAAACTTCATATATTTTCCTTAATTCAAAAATAAATGTAGAACTCCACGCAAAAATTTACGAAACAGTTTTGGAAGACGATTTTAAAGAGCGAGATGAATCGGAATGGACAAAAACCTCCAATATATATCCCTGAAATGAAATTCAACTCACATTAACCCTATAGTTGCTGAACTAGTTTCTAACCTTGATAGTATCGATAGGAGGGGGAGGATCCTTGTTCCTGCACAAGTTTACCACCACCCAGGTCACGTTCCTCAAGAAGGAGATCGGGATCTCAGGGTTGATGAAGGTTAGAAGAGGTTGAACAACTCCAAGCTGGATTACATAATCACGGAGCTGAGGACCGTCACCAATGATGTTTCCCAGGGCCCAAACAGCCTAAGAAATGTCAATGATACTACTTGAACAAGAAAAAATGTAAAGAAATAGTTTTTATTAAAAACCACAGTTTTATGTCATTTCCCTTAAAAAAAGGCATCTAATACTTCCAAAAAAGTACTAAACATTGAAAAGAAGCATCAGAAAGATTGGAATATATTTGAAAATAGTTTGAAATGAATCAATATGAATACAAATCCGAACCTGTTCACAAACATTCTGATGTTGTGAGGTGAGCAGCTGAAGAAAGAGTGGCACTGCCTCAGCTGCCACCACAGCATGCGTCTGCTGACTCGTTCCGCTTGCGATATTTGTCAGCGCCCAGGCAGCCTCGAACTGGAGGCTAGGGTTGTCGGTTGACTTGAGGCAGTTGACTAGAACTGGTAGGATGCCAGAGGCGATGAGGGCATCAATTGGAGGATTTCGGTCACTTGACAACAACTTTCTAGCAGCCTTAAAAAATAATGATGGAAAGATTTCAAAGAAGGAAAACTATATTGTAATGTTAAATAAAAATGAGTAGCATTGCATTCATATAAAATAAAAATAATAAATATATAAAAATTTATGAAAATATGTATTTAGACATTTAACGATATATAATAATGCATAACGATTAACGAATAACATCGATCCTTAACGATTTTTCATCTTCTAACGTCGTTATACATCGCCAATCGCCATGTTTCGTTTTGTTATAACCTTTTTTATTCGTTTAACCTTATCCGTTGTTGAATTTCGTTATTGATGTGTGTCTATATTTAACAATAAATAAAGTTACATAACAATTAATAAAAGTGAATAACAATGTATAACGAAGTATAAAGATGAGAAACTCCGTTACCTGTACAGCATGAAGCTGAGTAGCAGGATCAGGGGACTGGGCCTTCTCTACAATAGTTTCCAAGCTGGAGTTGGATAGGTTCTCCCTTCCCTCCTCATCATCTAGTTTTTAAAGAAATTAAAAAATGTATTTTCTTTAAAAAAAAAATTCCATGTTGAAAGATTATCTTAAGAATTTTAATCGCCGATCTGGGAAAAAACAAACGATATTTTTAAAGTATAAAAAAATAGGAGGGGAAGGCTTTTCTTTATTTCTCAAACATATTTTGAATTCATTTTACTCAGGAGGAGAAGGGATAATTCTTAAACTTATATTACGATATTTCATCGTGGAGAAAAAAAAGAAAATGAATCATAATATAAGAGAGTAAGTATAAAGTTGCGATATGTTGAATTTAAAAAACAAAATCACGTGTTTCCTAAAAGTAGTTTTAATTAAAAAAAAAAAATTTTAAGTGGGCACTGGGCAGAAGGAGATGACAAAATTTAACCCATTATTGCAGTACTTGGTGAGAGGAGGGTGGGGTATACCTGTAGTATCCTCGGTATTCGGTACATTCCTCTTCTTCTGTAGTGTTTCATCTCTCTTGTTCTTCCTGATCTCTACAGTTACATCGTTCCTCTTCTTCTTCATCTCCTGATAACACATTATAATTTAATAAAATATTGATCAAGGAATTATTAAACATAATAAAACAAAAGTTACTAATAAAATACTCATAACTTCACAGATCATTAGCACGATATTAGTTGCAATTTTGGAAGTTTAAAAGTACAACTTCAGAGAGTCTTCAATGAAGTTTTTTCTATGTTTGACCCCAACGTACGCACAGAAAGCTCAAAAAACAATTTTGTTTACTGCATGCACATTTATATAATCAGCTTTATACAAATTAAATTTAAAATGATTTAGTGTTTACAATTCCAAGTCCCAATTAAGAGCTATACACATTCTGATGCAAGATAACCAACAGAGCGTCCCATATGATATTAGATTATCTCAAAGCTTAAACGCCAAAATACGCACACAATTCTCGAAAAACTTATTATTTTCTTCATGCAAATCTTTATATTAGCAATATAATTTTTATATAAATGATTCATTTTTTTAAATTGGGTCCGTCCTACAATACGATTTTTGGACCCCTCCCCTAATCAATTTTTGTACATGACCACTTTTTCAACAATTTTCAGTTAAATTAGTATTTATTTAGGATTAGGTTGAGACACTTTTTGGGCCGAGCGCAGCGGCTAGAACAGGCTAGGGGGCCGAGTGCTGCGGCCACGGGCTTGGTTGAGTTAAGACCCTTTCTGGGCCGAGCGCTGCGGCTAGGACAGGCTAGGGGGCCGAGCGCTGCGGCCAACTCCTCTTTTACATTAGTTCATCTTCTGATAATATGTATAGCGATAAAAAAAATAATGCTGCAACATAAAACTGGGTACTGAACGGTTGTGTACGATATGAAAGTATGAAGTATAGAGTTATTTCAATGATACAAAGGGAGCCCTCCCCCCTCCCCCATTACAACTCATAAACCCCACACCCATTCCAACACATTAGCTATACTTTTCAATATTATCTAGATGCATAACAAACCTCTTGATCCTTTCCTTCATTTTTGAAAAGTTTCTGGCGGCCGACAACGGCGGCGTTCGCAGCCGGTTTATTTTTCTCCATTCTTTGTTTATTAAACTATTATTTATCTGAAAACAGTAATATGTCTGTTAGTCGCCAAATTGAACCTTGGACTTAAAAATACATTTATAAACATAAATATACTTTGAAATAAAAGTATTAGAAAATCACTTTGAAAATAAGATTAACTTTTTCTGTAGTTTTATCCGCTCCAAGAAATTTCAGGAAACGCAGTGAACGCACTGTTGAGAATGAGGTTTGGTTTGGTTTGCAAAATATCAGTGTGCAGCGGCAATGCGCATACGCTCCCTTTTCATTCTGTGGCGGGAAATTCAAATGTGAGAAATATTTTAAAGATTAGTGTATTTTTCCATCTACACAAATCCGCTATACTTCACTTCTGACTTTAACCAAATCCGCTGTACTACACATCCGACCTACTATGACGTGGTTCTACAGCTGCTATAAGGACTTGTGGCCGCAGCGCCCGGCCCCCTAGCCTGTCCATAGCCGCGGCCCGCTCGGCCCCTAGCCTGTCCTAGCCGCAGCGCTTGGCCCAGAAATTGACTTAACCTAACCTAATCCTCAAATGATACAAAAATAAACAGCTGGCGTAGGTCCGATATTGCAGTAGGTCGGAAAGTTAGTAGGTCCAGTTAAGTTTAGGAGCTGGGGGATGTTTCGTATAGACGATGTAACATTAAACCTTTTGAAGATATAATATTTTTCCCCAGCAACGAAACTCAATGAACTGGCCAGAGGGGTAATCTGATTAACTCTCCCCCTCTAAGTACTATTCCCCTATCTCACATCTAAATATGTCTATAGCCTTTGCATGCCAATCAAAGGCGGCATATGGGGGGGACAGGGGCAAGGGCGTACACAGAAATAAATATGGTGTGCCAAATGTGCGCAGAGAACCAAATTCTCCCCCCCCCCCGAACTGTTAATTCAAAACATTTTGCTTCTTGGACAGGGGCGGATACAGGGGGGGGGGACGGGGGACATTCGCCCCCCTGACAGATTCAGGGAGGGACGTAGCCCCCCCATGAGTTTGGAATTTTTTGTTCCTATTTTCAGAATAGCTTCTCAATAGCATGCTTTATGCAAAACAGGAAAAATATTTGTCTTAATAAAATGTGTGAAAAGTTAAAATCTAGTTTTTTAGTCTTAAGTCATTAATTTTTTTGAGTCTTTTAAGTCCAAAAAAAATTTCGCCTGCTGCGCGATTTTTTGTTCCCAATTATGAATTTTTTTGTTCCCAAAAAACTTGCCCCCCCCCCTCACAATTAAATCCTGTATCCGCCCCTGTTCTTGGATACTTCAAAGGTAGACATAAAGTCTAATTTTATGATCCCTAGAGCTCTGCTATCTCTGCAACTTGATTGTATAAACTTTTAAGATTTCAAACTCATGGTTATTTGACCAGAGCGCTGGGAACTTTAGAATGGGATACCTTTAATCCTGACTGCTTAATCCAAATATCCAATGTGGGCACTTTTAATTTCTTGCTGAATCCACTCTTTTTTGGATATAGTGGAGAAAAATAAAAAATTAGGGAGTCCCTCCCGTTTTTGTATATTAATCTTAAATGCCGCGCAAAATTTCAAATTTCCGGGCTTCTGATACCCGACTCTGATCTTGGTTGAATTTTTAAACTTTTCAGGATACAAGTACAAGATTAGGTTAGTCTTGAGATTAAGAAAAACAGAGGATCAAGCATTGATCTCGATATCCACCATTCTAAAGTTCACAGCTCTGACAGAATTGTTTTTGACAAAGCAGTGGCGAATTAAGGTTGGGGGGGGGGGAATAAGGGAATCATTAGGGCGCAAGTAGAGAGAGCAAGCCCCTTCTAGCCGTTTAATTCTGATTTTCAAGAATAAGTTTTTTTTTTAATTTGTCTCCGGCGCCACTTAATATCTCAAAGTGAAGATTTTTTTTAAAAAATTGTATAAAAATCCAAAATTTGATTTTTAAAAAAAATTCCATCCCACACCCAGTTTGTTATGGGAAGGGGAGAATTTTTTGATGAAAAACTAATAAATCAATAGATAATTGGATGTTATTTCTGCATAAGCGAACCATGGAGTTTAGCTCATCTTCATGGTTTTAATTTGATTATGAGCTTGACATAAAATTTTTACTGGTCACTACAGGTCAGTCAAGTAAACTTGTAGGACTGATATTATTAACTGAAAGGCCCGGCGTTGCCCGTGGAAAAAATAAAAAAATTGAAAAGAATAAAAAATTTTGGGAAAAAAATTATTTTCATTTAGCTCATAACACTGTTCGGCCACCCGTGAGTGTCCACAAAAAATTTCAGCCCAATCGGTCCAGCCGTTTGGCTGCCTATACGCAACATATATATATATATATACGAATGTCTTGTTTTATTATACTAGCCTTAGAGGGCGCGTCGCGCCCATCTTCTAAATTAATTGTGAACATGTTCTTTTTGTGTACATCTAAAAACAAAGAAGAAAATAATTTTGCAGATTTTTACAAAAAATTCGCGGATTTTCAAGAATTTAAATTTTTTTACAAAATTAAAAACTTTTAAAACAAATTTTTTTTTAAACTTTTATCATTCATAAACCTTCCCTGGGGTCCCTAGATGTCCCACAAAAAATTTGGGCCCGATCGGTTCAGCCGTTTTGACGTTTATTGGATACAAACAGACAGACAGATAAACAGACAGACAAGCCAAATTTATTTTATTATATAGACTAGGCTTTTTTCTTCTATTTCAATTGTGAACATGTTCTCATTCTTGGATTTTCCAAATTTTCAAAAATCCAATTTTGTTATAGGCAAGTTTTTGAAAATTCGATCATTTATAAAGCTTCCCTGGGGTCACGCGAGGTCCCACAAAAAAATTGGGCCCGTCTGTAAAGTGTACACGGGAAAAAAATAAACATTTTGTTTAAACAACTGATTTCTTTGACAAATATAAAAAAATTTTGTTGAAAAGAGTTTTTTTGTTGAATATAAGAGATTTTTTGGTTAAATTAAAACGATTTTTTTTGTTCACAATAAACGAGTTTTTTTAATATACTAGATCTTTTGGTTGAATTAAAACGATTTTTTTTTTAAAAAGGCGATTACGTTTAAAATAAGCGTTTTTTGTGTTAAAAATAAGCGACTTTTTTAATGAAAATAAACGATTTTATGTCGCTTATTTGGCAGTCACCAACTTCTTCTGCAATATAAGGGATTTTTTTGTTGAAACAAAACGATTTAAAAAAAAATTAGCGATTTATGATAAGCGATTTTTTCTCGCCTAATCGGGTGCCATCCAACTTTTTCACCCGAGTAGGCGACTTTTTATCGCTTAATTACGACTTTTTAATTTAGAGTGGATCATACATAAAATTCTATTCTAAATATATCATATTTTCATCCTTCATTCTTTATTTTCTTCTTTTGTTGACTGTACCTTCTGTCAATTTGGAAAAAAGATATTTTTACAAAACACTGATTATAGAGTATGCCAGGATTAGCTGGACAGACCTGAGCTGCTTGTATGGTGAATTTCTAATTTCGAATCTGCATATTCAGATAGCAGTCGCGAGATCAATAGATGAGAAGAAAATAAATCAATATTACAAGATTAATTTTCTTGAACGAATAAGAAAAAAAAATCAGTTATATAAACAAAAACTAAAAAAAACAGTTCTATAAACAAAAACTAAAAAAGCTAGAAATTCTAAATAGCGGTTCACGAAAAGTTAATAAAAACCTTTTAACTTAAATAAAGATATAAGAATAAACAAGAGCTTGAACGGAAGAAAAACAAGAAGAATGGAGAAGGGGGGAAAGAGATGGAGAAAGAAAACTGTACATGGCAGGAAGGGAGGGGAGAAAAGGAGAAAGAAAGCTGTACATGGCAGGAAGGGAGAAGAGAAAAGGAGAAAGAAAACTATGAATTGCAAGAACGGAGGGGAGAAAAGGAGAAAGAAAACTGTACATGGCAGGAAGGGAGAAGAGAAAAGGAGAAAGAAAACTATAAATGGCAAGAAGGGAGGGGAGAAAAGGAGAAAGAAAACTTTACATGGCTGGAAGGGAGGGGAGAAAAGGAGAAAGACAACTGTACATGGCAGGAAGTGAGGGGAGAAAAGGAGAACGAAAACTTTACATATCAGAGGTTTACACCATCAAGTTGAGTTTGTGGCAAAGACTCAATTCCTTTGATTTTCAATCTAATCAAATCATATATTTTCTTCAGTAATAATAAATCATAACAGTTATTAACCTTAATTTTACAATTTACTATACATGACATAATGCAATTATTTTTTAAACTATAATTTTAAAATTTATTTTGTTTTTTATTTAACAAATTATGCTGAATATTTAAGGTTTTTCTTGGGTTTTCCGTTACAAATTATCATCTCACTTTATAAACACTGAAATTAAGTTGATTATTTAAATTGTGAAATTAAAATTTATTTTTACGAACCCCACATTGATAGAGCAGCATGTCTGAATTACAACGTTACCATTTTAAAAGCTTTGTTGGATCAAGTGTGGCTAAAATAATATCCATGTCTTTGTTTTTGAAAACTGATTATTTTAATTTGTGCTTTCTCCGAAAAAGTGACTTCCACATTTTTGATCAATTAAAGTTTCAAGAGTACCGTTGTGAATCGGGAAAACCCTTTTTTTAATGGAGAATCACTGAAAATTACAACGATAGACCCCTTAAATGATTAAGATGTAATAAAAAAATATTTTTTTTTAAATCTCTCAATTCCTCATCTTTCTCTTCCCAATCCCAAATTAAATCATACATCTCAGAGAGTTCCATACCCCCTCCTTCTTGCTTTACTTCCGGTGTATGCTAGGGGCCGGATGTACTTCAACACCGTGTTTCAAGGAAGTGTGTGACGGGAGGAGAAAGTGTTCCATTTCGATGAGGGGTGTTTAGGAAAAACTAAATTTTTGGAGGTGAAAAAAGAGCAGTCATGAAGTATTCATAAAGAAAAGATGGCTATTAACTGATTAAATCTAAATATCTCAGGGGGGGGGAGGGGGGGTGATTAAACCACTCCTGGTTCCAAGACATACACTGACGATCATGCCACCTCAGGCAAGGCGCATAGGCCTGATTCAGGGGTAAACCGCCTTCTACAATTAGGACAACTTGCATCTCCTTGAAGATACATATTAAAAAAATAATAATAACAATAAAAAAGGATTTATCAATCTAATAATTTGAAGAGTGAAGACGATTTACCCTTCATGTTATCATTCACTGCACTTGGCACTGCGCACACACTCACATATGGCGGCAAAAAGACCATACTGTACACACTACACGTCCTATATATTTATCCAATACTATCACATATATACAGGTTAATGCCCTGATGTGTCTTAATGACAAATTTTAAATGAATATGATTTCATTTTTATACGAATAAAAATTAGTTTTATTGTTATCATTTTTACAAGAACCTAGGATAGTTCAACTATTTAATATTCCATAATACCCTCAATTCAATTCCATAAAACTATAATTTTTTAAATTATTCATTAGTATTTTAAAATTGGTGAACATTCCCTTGAAAGATCAGCTTGAGTTACTAAGAAACCTAAGAAACAGGAACAGTGGATGCTACTTTTATTTTTCTACAAATTTACATTTTCATATTATTTTGAATATTATTAAAATGCACTGCAGGTGTATATATATATTTATCTTTTTTCGCATTATTGTTTTCATTATTAATATCATTATCACTATTGTGATTATCATTATCATTATTATTATTTTTAGTGTTGTTACTAAATTTTATTTATTAGCATCTATCCTTGTGTCCGGCCCTGTGTGCCCCTGTATCCTATATTTATGTTAAAGAACGATGTGAAAAATGTTGAATAGTTTTATCTAATGGAGATCTTAAAACCTTCTCTTGTATTCACTGTGTTTACAGTAAGAGGACTTGGGTTCGGGGAATTGCAGAATTTAACCCATTTATTTAATCTTGTTTTCAGGGTTAACTTCTCGGGATTCTTTTTTCGATAAACTTGAAATTTAGAGAATCCATGACAAGCACAATTTAAGTAATTATCTACTTTTCTACACACCATTAATTGTTGTTAAAGGGACTGTCTGCGTAGTTTCAAATAAACCTCCTTTTAAAGACTATATAGCATGTCAGAATCACAAAGGCTCTTTCCCTTTAAACCGATGAAAAAAATCCTGGAAGTGTCTAGAAATATTTTCTGTCTTAAAAAGTATACTTTGGAATTATTGTGGAATCATGCATTAGAGATGATAAAGGAAATTAACAGAATTTAGCTCTTTTCAGGAGAGTCACTAGTTCTTTCTTTTTGTTACTCGGATTAATATTTTTGGCTTGCGAGACTTTATAAAATATGCATCCTTCCTGTTCTGGAATAAACTCAGTCAAGATATGTATAACCTAGCCAAGCACAAAAAAATATAATATAGCCAAAACAAAATACAGATATTAGATGGGTGAAAATTTAATTTATTCCAGAATTTAAAACCTGGCCCGTGTTTACCGTGCTTGGTACTATTGTGAATTGGGCATTGAACTTTAAACAGAGGGGTTCACTCAAGATTACGTCCAAAAAAATGATTTTCGTTAAAAATAAAATGTATACTACTGCAGGGCTACCAAACATTTACTCATCTAAAATTTGTGACTTTTTACGTAATTTTAAATGAGCCTCAATATATTTAATTCTAGTGTGATATGTCTGATTCATAATGGTACCCTTCCATACCGGGTCTGAGTAGCATTAAGAAATATTTTGTCGTTTTCCATCAGGAAAATGAAAAGTGTTGTATTTTGAAAATTTTCCTTGTTGTCTTAGCAGTATAAAGATGCAAGTCACTTTTATAAAAAAAATCCAAAATTTAAAATGCTGAGTATTCAGCATAGTTATATAAAAATCCAAAATTGAAAATGATGAGTATTCAGCTATAAGAATCCCAAAAAAATCTCATTAATTTTTTATCTGACACGTTATGGGTATGGTCGAGAATTAAAAATTATATTTATCTAAGTTTTTTCTCTTACTTGTTTTTTATATTTTATAATTGATTTTGGACCAAACGTTTATGCAAATCTTCAATTTCGTTTCGAATTGTCATTTCCATTTCTTCAGTCCCACTCTCACAATCTTTTTTCACAATTTCTTTTTCCTTTATTTTCATATAGATTTTTGACAAATTCATTTTCACACAGAAAGAAAAGTTTATCTTCAACTAAAAAATCGGAAAAAAGTGTTGCTATAGACGCAAATGCCGACAAAAAAAGTAACTAAGAGAAAAAACGAAAAATTTACGTTAAATAGATTGTGATCGAAAGTCTCAGCGCGGTTGCCGTTAAAGCAGGAAGGATTACTAAAGCCAAAAATCGCCAAAATTGTTATCAAGCACGCACAATTTACAAAACACTAAAAACAAAAGTTCGTCAGAAAAAAAAACATCTCACAAAGACACTGAAAAAATTCCCCGTAGAAAATTAAAAACACACTCAAGTCACACAAACTCACTGCAACAAATTAAACAAACTAATAATAATTATATCATAACAATTATATTCTGTAATAAACCATTAACGAAATTACATATTTAGCGGAAATTAACAAGATTTTGAAAAAATAACACATTGTTCGTCTAGATAACTAGCAAGGGTATTATTAAAGCAAGATCTTGTATATATAAAATCACTTTATATTTTAATATATAAGTACTTAAATTTTACTAACATCGGGTGGTAACACAATTGTTGTCGTTGCTGGTAACAAGTCAAATTTTAAAGAGAAAAATAAGTCATTTCTGAACTTTGAGGTGACCCAATCATTTTTATTTACATAAAAATTTTGGGATTTTATAATAAACAGAAATCCACTTTTTCATTCTAATAAACTGCGTGAACTACAGGGTGAGACACATTTTAACAAAATATATGAATAATATAAAATTGTGAAAATATAATAAGTTTCTCTAGGCAGTACAGGGGTCTATATGTAATACATAAATAGGTTGAGACGTGTGCGTTTGTAACCATTAATTTCTATACCACAGTTTCTTCGGTTCAGAGTTAAAGTTTACAAAAAAAAGTATTTTTGGTCCTTTTTAGATATGGAATAGTTGGAGCTGGGACTTAATGATGGGCGGAGTGGAATGTTTATGGATTTAAAGCCTCAAATTATTTTTATTTGTTCCAAAAAATGTTAGAATGTATACAATTTAAGTTGAGTTTTTTGTGTGGGACAATTTTGAAAATGTAAACTTTAGGAAAACCCATATTGCAAAATAAAGCTGTTGGGGAAAACGTTATTAGGGGAGAGGGAGGGATTTGGATTAAAGGAATAAATTCTGAGCGCATTGCTCTAAATATTTATAAAGAAGGAAAAGTGAATTAAAGGACTAGATGAGTTGTTTAAATCATGTAGAGTTATTATTCGATTTTTTTCCGGAATATTTGCTGAATGTAACTGCAACATTGGCAGAAATAATTTCACAAAGGGAAGGATGAAGCAAAGAAACTAATGTAGTTTTAACAAATTTTTATCGGAAGCCCAAAATATGATGGCGGCCATATTTCCACCACCATTTTGAAATTCCAACCTATCAACCGGCCGATTTCAAATCAACAATAAAAAACAAAAACAAAAATTTGAGATTCTTCAGAACTCCAAAATTTTCACAAAGGATATAAAACAGCCTCGTGGTAAACCAATATATGGAAGGAAACATGGAAGACAAGAGATTCAAACATGGAGATTCAGGATATAAGTTTGGGAAGAATTGTTTATATAATAATTAAGCTATCACATGTCTCTCTCTCCAGAGTCTGACTAGCTTTAAGTGGCTAAATCTGAGAGACGGGGTATTCAGTTCAGTTCTATGGATACTCTACATATATCCGAGTGTTGAGAGATATCCGGATATCTCTGGATCTATCCGGATCCTCCAGGTTCCGGATCCATCTAGTCCCGGGAAATGCGCTTGTGGATCGACATGTGCTTCAACAGATGCGCTTTCTGTCGGAACGCTTTAGAGCAGTGCTCACAACCGAAGGGTTTCTCTCCAGTATGTGTTCGTAGATGCACCTTAATGTTGGATTTGTTGAGAAATCCTCTATTGCAAACATGACAATGGTGCATCATCTTCTTTCCTTGATCTCCGCCTGGACTCGAACCAGCACTTCCCATCAAGGATCTCTGCAACAAAAAATATTCAATTGCAAAACTCAAAAATACAGAAGGACCCTTTAAACTGTGGAACAGGATGACGACTTTTCTTAAATCTTAAGTGTATTTGGTTTTGTATAAAGACAACAGTTTTACTAATAGGTTGAAAATCAAGAGTTAATATTATTAAACTAATTTTACCTGTCTAATCTTCGGTGGCTTTGGTTTGGATCTAATGATTCCGTCTGAACCCATTCTTCTGTGATCTGAGATAGAGTTGACTGTGCTGTGCGGCATCTGCTCCTGGTAGTAGTCGGGTTTCATCATCTCTACACTCTCAAACTTGATCTGGGGATAGCTGAGAGGATACGTCCCGGTGATCGCTCCGCGGAGGATCGGAGATAAATTTGGTTGAAAAGAGTCTCTGGGTTCCACAATAGTCATCCTGGAGCCCTTGATCAAAGAAGAAAGGGAGCCTATGTAAGACTGTGTGTTGGTGAGGGTGTGGTTGCTAATAGAATGCAAATTTTCGGAGCTGGACGAATGAATATCGAACCCACCGTCGTTTGGAAGAATAGCTAGAGGTTTGATGTCCTGTGCCGTGTTTTCGATCCAGGCCTCGATATCAAGATCGTTCTCGATTGATGGAACGGTCGAGTCTGCACCCACCGACATTCCTACGATGTTTCCAAGATCGTCAAACGCGTTCTGATCGGTGGAAAAATCTATTTTCGTCATTCCCTGGGGACTAATGGAGCCACTGGATGTAACGTCGGAAGGAGAAGCGTTAAAAGGGAAATGTTCTCTGTGGAAGTCTGGACTAAGGGGTTTTATATTGATATACAGATCTGCCATTTTATTATTGTTGTTGTTATTGTTGTTATTGTTATTTAAAACCGGATCCAGACCGGTAAGACTAGTTGAGCTGTAATCAAATGGGATGGGTTTCAGTTCCGTGAAATCATTCTGTGGCTGGTTTAGACTCATTTCGAAGGTTTCGATAATTTCCTGTTTTATAGGACTAAACTTGGAATTAGATTCGGGGAACTGCTGGGAGCACTCCCATGGGAGGGGTTCAAGTCGTTGAACTGTCTCTGATTTGATATTAAGGAAGGATGAAGTTGATACGACGGTTTCTAACATCCTGACTCCGATAGTTCCACTAGATCTCACTGTATATAGTTAGAGAATCTCTGGATAATATTCGTCCGTACACTATGTAGAGGTATTCACCAATCACATCTGAAAATAAAGATTGTTATTAAAAATCAATTCATTTATACATGTACTAGCCTTAGAGGGCGCTTCGCGCCCATCTTCTAAATTAATTGTGAACATGTTCTCTTTGTGTACATCGTAAAACAAAACAAAAATAATTCGCGGATTTTCACAAAAAATTTCGCGGATTTTCAAAATTTTAAAAAATTTAATGACGATCGAATTTTGATGGACACAAATTTTTAAAATTTCAATCATTCATAAACCTTCCCTGGGGTCCCTAGATGTCCCACAAAAAATTTGGGCCCGATCGGTTCAGCCGTTTTGACGTTTATTGAATACAAACAGACAGACAAGACAGACAGACAGACAAGCCAAATTTATATATAGATAAAAGGGTTACGTTATTACTCTACAGATTGAATCTGACTGAATGTTTTTTTCTTCAGATTTTATGTATATAGTATTAATTACTAGACTTCTGATAATTATATCTATAATATAAACCATGAACAACAAATTTATTGGATGTGAAGTAAATACACTCTATGATATCTGTATATCTACACAGAAAAAAAGATAAATACAATTTACTATTTATATACTTTTAATTTTAAATACACAAAGTATAAAATATCAAAGGTTTACACCATCAGGATGCAAAGATAAAAGGATCAGTTTATTTTCGTATTTATTCTAAGATTCTAATTCAAATTATTAACCATTTCACAGAGGATATTTACTACCCTTAGTGTTTCTTTGTATTCCCTATTCTGAAAACTCCCTCCTTCTAAATTCCATCCTTCCAATAAACTTTACTCCATCCCCCTTATCATGTATAGATTATAATGGTGGATATCAAATATTCTTCTCATGCATTATTCCGCCCCTCATTTCTATCCATTGAACCCCCCCCAGGTTACTGCATCTTCTGAAGGATCGTGGACAAGATGTAATTAAATTTAAATTAAACGTAGCTACCGGTAGCAAGGTATGAGATAGCGTTAAATCTACGATATCACCACATGTACCGTTAATGTTACTCGTCAATAAAAGTTTCTTCTCTAGAGTCTCGACATACATCTTTCCTTTCTATAGCAAGGATTTTTTCTAAAATTATGATTATTTAGTCTAGTAGGCATTTCAACCGCCGAATGTTTAATTTAGAAGCAAACTTGTGTTAAATAACCAGAAAATGAAAAATCACGGTTTAACCTAAAACTAATGGATTAAACGTGAGAGAGGAGAATTCACGATGTTTCATTCTTATTTAATCCCGCTTCTTTTCCATTTTGCATCCATCCTAGGAAATATGCAGTTTTATGCGTTAAATTGTTTTTAGGTTAGTGTCTGAATTTAATGAATTTAAGCCGCGTCTCAAATCCCCCTAAAACCGTTTTCAATTGAGCGCCGGCTTAAATCTTGAAACATTGAATACAATTTTAAGTGGAATCAACCATATTTGCGCCGCGGCTTAAATTTAAGCAACGGCTCAAATTCTTTAAATCGGCCTTTGTTTGGTAAAGCAGACCTAACATTTATAATATTCATAATTCAATGCAAAGTTTAAATTTTTTCCAGGGCAAGATGGAAAATGAGGAAGATGCATTTAATGCACTAACGCTGGTTCTCTACCTTTAATTTAAATATACAATGACCTTTTCTAAACATTAAACTCGTTCAATATATAATTATTTACAATGATAAATTTCTGAAGTATGAAGATAATGTTTAGTTTCAAAATAATGAGATACATGGACATTATAACTGCATGAAAAATTTTGTTTAAGGGAATTGAGTCTTTGTCACAAACTATCATTTTCTAATGTCTATATCTTTGTAACCCAATGCCGTGGTCCATAGATTTTTTATCTTGATCTTTATCTTTTTTAATTATGTAGATTGTATAGACTATAGTAGACTATATATTGGAGTATATGTGTACATTATTAATTATCAGTATTTATAAAGAATGAAATCTTTGGTTTAGAACTTGTAGCTATGAAGGCAACAAAATTCATTTTATCGTGAAGTGATTAGGCTTCAAACATTGTGATTTCTTCCCCTCTGTTCCCCTTCAATTATTCCCCTCCTTCCCNCCCTCTCCCCTCGGGAATGGCAGTATCAGTCAGCTGTAAGCTATAACCTACTTTTGGCTGGAGCCGGGCCAAGCCTCAATTCAGGCAGGATAGTTAGACAGGCATATGGTGGGATAGATAGATAGATACACAGTCATGTATTGATAGATAGATAGAATATACCCCTCGGCCTATGTCCTATATACTTGCATCTAGTGAACGCTAGTCGACTAATTATAGAGGGAATCCCATATATGCTTGAAAGGGAGTTATTTCTAGTTAAACAGCTAGGCTGTATCTTAATAGATCTTTTTACATATGGCATTTCCATTTAACGTACTTGTTAAATACCCAGGGGAGGTTTAAAGGAAAACTATATATCTTATACGGAACACGTCTTATCTTAAATCCGTAAAAATACCGTTGGGATAACTTTACACTGGCCATATATACTACTTGTACCCCNCATCCCAAACAGCAATTGTACTCAAGTGAATGTGAAGTATGTTTGAGAGAGAACGTAAATATTTAAGGCATAACATAATTTGTTACACTGCATTTGACTTGGTGTATTGTAATCTAATGGTCTCAATTCTCTGCTCCGTTAGCCCACAGCTTACCTAGCTTTTAAACCCTGAGAACCACCTACATCCGTGAAACTTAGAAAAAACATTCTCACTTAAAGATTTTCCTTGGAAAAGTTTCATCCCCGGCTCACAATCTTAGAACCGTAAATACTATATAATTGCCCTTTTGTTGTACGCTAGAGGCTTATAGTTCGTTAAAGTCTCCCGAGAAACTAACTGTAAAGTACACTGAACAGATTACAGTAAATTTCAACGCAAATAAAGAGGTTTGATGACTAACAACGAGAGTGTTTAGTGGGTCAATTCTATCAAAATCCCAAGCAATCATTTTAAACAAAGGTCAGGAGGGGGGGGGAGAGAATGATTAGCTATGAAATGAAAAACTTTTGGAAAATATCGATTCAATATAAAAGAATGACGATCAGAATTGAGCAATAAAAAGCATGTTAAGAAAATCTGGTAGGAATTCAAGAAAATTTACCTTCAACTAAATGATAATACACAGAAAAATAGTAGAAAAAGACGATTTCGAATAATGGTTGAAAATGGGAGTTTAGATTAAGTATAAAAATCAAAAAAGAAACATATTTCACGAAGGAGATATAGAGGATTGATATCAAAGAAAAATCCGTTCTACGAAGAAACTTATTGAGCAAAAGAGATTTATATAAGTGGATTAAAATGTGGGTTTAGAACTGTGGATGAGAATGCAAGAATGAGAGTGTGTAACGGGATAGAACGTGAGGATTTACTCCGGGTACAGGTTGGAACAGGTTGGAGAAACACTGTATCCTGAAACCTTGACAGCTGGAGAAGCAGGACGGAGTAGACGGTTCCGACTCCAAACTTGGAAATTAGGTCAATGTGCAACAATTACTCCGTTAAGTAGAAGCAGTGATGGTATAGGAGGTAATCAACCATATAATACATAGCTTCGTGTTCATTCTACCACAAGCTTAGAACATTATCAAACTTTAATATGCATTCAGGGTATAATTGTCATTATTCTAATTTTCTTTGAAAAAAGTCTTTCCAGGTGTATTGGTTATCTAAAAATGTCTAGAAAAATTACTATTTATTATTTGGTTTACAAAGGAATTGGTTCTTTGCCACAAACTCTGATGTTCTAATTCTTATATCTTTGCAACCCAATGTTGTAGACAGATATTTAAAACTTTAATTCTGTTAGTTTTAATAATCTAATTCACTATCAGGTTGCAAAGATTTAGGGATTGGAAAATGAATTTGTGGCAAAGTAATAATTCCATTACAATATGTACCATCATGAATTAAGTGCAAAAAAATGATTATTTAAGTATATTCATACATATTGCATTTGACAAGGGAGATTTTAGAAAATGAATGTATTTTGCGTATTTTAAGAATATTTGCAATGTATTTGCATAATAAAATTCGCAAGTTTGTCCTGTAAGTTTTGCAGTTCAATATTGACCCAGAGAGAGCGAAATTGCACAACTTCAGTAACTAGAACGAATTTATTTTATTTATTCCGATGGCACCTCCCCTCTCTCCCAAAACTGTAGATTCATATTGTTTGTCATATTGTTTCATATTTGTATTGTGTTGTAGACGATATATACATGTCAATGAACTTCAAAGACCTGTATTGAGAAAAAGTACCTTGCATGAAAACACACAGAATTTTAAATTTTAAAACCCTGGGAGTTTCTTTAACTAAGATTAGATATCTAGGTTTATCAGAGTACACTAGAATTTTGGATTTTTTACAAAAGCAATTTTTAAAATATTATAAAATGCATTTTAATAGACAAAAAAGTTATAAAATTTTAGACTTTGAACATAGACTTTAAAGTGAAATTATCAAAAACAATTATTTCTCCCCCATTCCTTCCCCTTTTGTATCACATCTTCCTACCCCCCCGATCAACTTCCTGCTTCCTTAATTTATATACATAGTTTATAAATATAATTTTCCCAGAGAGAATAAAAAGTAATGGATACCAAAAGTTATGAATTGTATGAAATTGTAAATGTAAGAATGAAAGGGAAAAATAGGATCAAAATTAAAATAAAAAGTCAAGAAAATCAACAAAGAATAAAAGGAACCAAGAAATTATTAAAGAAAAACAGAAACAAAAGAAAAAATTGATGAAAAAAATCAAGAAAAAGGTGAAACGAGGAAACCCAATATAAAAATATGAAGATGGGTATAGTGGGCAGGAGAAATATAAATAGCAGGTATTCAACCTGAAATGTGGGGAGGGAGGGGGGAGAGGTCACATATTTAAAATCTGATGGACCATACTCAAAACTGTCCAAACACGGAAACCTTAGTCAACCGGAGTTTAAAATAGTACATTAATTAGGACTAGGAGGG